ACAGATTCCACGTGGAATAATTTGTCACCTCTAAAAGTGCTGCAACCCTCTTAATTAGTGGTTGGCCGTACCATTCGGGACCCCTCTCTCCTACAATTGCGATCAACATGTGCCCAATCACTTCTTCACATATTGTTCAAATTTTTACTCTGTTTTCTAATTTGGACCATTTGTCTTGCTTCAGGGTACTACTTCTATCCCAATGAGTATGTCTGCTGGTGTATGACCTAAGGTGAAGAATTTCAGTCCAATTAGGGACAAGAGTGGGTCTGTAGTACAAAATAAATAAAAATTACATCTTGTGAAAAAATTTATGGAGTCATCTCGATTTACATTTATTTTAGATATATCTGTAGTACCGTATGAATTATTGGACTAATGATTATCTTCAATTTGAAGTTTTTCATCATTTTTCTCCTTTAGGCATAATTTTCTAAGAGTACTCTTATATAATTATTGATAAGATGTCTCGTAAAATCACAGGACTCACACCACAACAGCTATGATGGATCCAGGTCGTGGGGTTGTCAATTGTAAAAATTTTCATTTCTTAATTTTGTTGTTGAGATTAATAAATTAAACAACCCACAGTCTCTTCGTAATCATAAACAATGTCAATATGAGAATGCGCTCGAGTCTCAAATGGCCTTGCACAACAAATATATATATATATGGTATATATGTATACGGAATTAATCTCTTACTCCGGATAAGTAAGAGATATTCATCCACACTATGTTTAGTACCGTTGAACATAAATATATATATAAAGATAAAAGTGTTAGATGTAGGTATGCATTCGTATACATGTTAAACAAGGGAGCCAATCCAAATCACTAACATCCTTATCCCCTTTTCTGTGTTTCAGAATGTGTTTATTTTTATATAAATTAGGTAGCTATCGCATCGACCATAGATTTGCAGTTTTGCATTTTGTCCAAGCTTGTGTTATTTTCTTGACTATTCCCAAAAACTACTCGAAACAATGCATTTTAATGCGTGTCAGTTTTCTTCATTACGGCCAAGACCTAGATGTCAACTTCTACACAATAATGCCCCCATTTCGCTTTCACAAGGAATAAACTCATGTTTTCACATGAGGAAGTATTAAGTGTTTTCAACCTTTTATACTTTGGGTGTAAATTACATTCATCTCCACTACAATTTGAACAAATTACGTATGATAAACTAAACTCATTTGTTAGTTTTGAATGTAAAAAATCAATAACGATTTTCTATTATAATAATATATTATAGTGCATTTTATATAAAGGAAGGGTAAAACTGTCATTTTATTAAATTTGCTCAACAAATTTACTATAAAAAAAATAATGAGGTGTCAATGAACACACGCGTCAAATATCAGATAAAGTTGAATAATCTACCGGGCATAATTTGCTCTCAGAAACCGTGTGCCTAATGTACCCTATACTTACCCCCACACACTAAGCACCTTGTCAGATCTTGATGAGGCAGCATTAGTGCATGATATTACTCCATTTATTAGTAGTTCATTTTTCCTTTTTAGAGTGTCCTAAATTAAATGTTCACTTTAAAAAGTCAAACAAAATAAATGACATCTTTTCATAATTACCCTTTTAATTTTTTAAAAATTTTACAACTTGGTATTATATATATTTAAAGTTTGAAGGACAACTTAGTAATTTGAAATGAGGACAATACATTAATTGCATGTTTTCTTAAAAAGTTATAAAACTAAAGATGGACAACTAATAAGAGACGGAGAGAATAATATATATGTATGTGCTCTAATTATAGATATAAATTAAGAAATTTGATTATGATAATTTTGTGTTTGTAGTTCTTGCTGTTTTATACATCGCACGGCTAGGATGCCATTAAGATAGGGTCGGAGGAAAGAATGTGTTTTAGATTATTCCAACTTGGATGAATAGAAATAATAATAAATAAAAAAATGCAAAAGAGTAGTTCCAAAGCCATTAAAACCAAAGTTTAATGATGAGAAATCAAGTAACTAAGGAAAATAATAGACACAGTTGATCTCTCCTAAACTCATTTGTTGACGGTCAGAAAATGATTTTAAATGTGAAAAGTCAATAACGATTTTCTATTATAATAATATATTATTATTTGTTTTTGCAAAAATTATATATTTACAATAATTATGCAATGCAACTATTAGAAGCACAATATATGTGCTATGTAACAAAATGGTATTTATATATTAAACAATTAATAATTTAATTAGAAAAATTAAAATATTAAAATGGTGTTTAGTTTCAATTACGATCTCTGATTACTGCAAATGTCTCGATAGCCTAGTGGGTTAGTGTTTTATGTGGATTTTGAAGTGTCAGGTTTCAACATCTCTAACTACTAATAGATTCAGATCCAGGTTTGGTGTTCTATTATCAATCCGATTAAACTCGGGTGGGTTTTAATTTAATCCAACTCCAATGGGTTTACAAACCTAGGCTCCATATGATTATTGATGGGTCTGGGCCTTTGTTAATTGGGTAATTTGATTCTGGATAGTAATCTGGCCCAGCCTGGGTTCAGTGCAATGTCACTTGTCAGCTTTGACACTCCTTAGTTTCTATATGCCTTGTATGAAAACCCCTTATTTATTTTATTTTATTTTATTTATTTATGTATTTTTTTTTTTTTTTTTTTTTTTGTGGTACTGAAAGAAATTAAAGATTCCTAATCTTGATTCCTGAGATGGCATGAAAACCGCGCGTGTGCGTATATAATACATATTTTCCCAGAACGTGCATAAATAAAGAGAGTGTTGCATCCCCAATGTAATATGTTGTATAATTACAAAATTTTCTTTTCTGATCTTACCGGGAAGTTCATTGTACCTTATATTTTTCTAAATCTAAAATTTAAAGGTATTTCTGGACTTAATTTTTAGATTGACTCATTGTAAATTATTGTTACATCAATTTTCCTCAACTTCAGATCTTTTTAAAGATGTAATTTAATTTAATTTTTAAAGAAATTAGTTCTACTCGCTTTCACTCCTAAATTGGGGGGATACTGATTTGCTTGCAAAAGTGGACAGAAGCCAATCTTGGCAAAATCTAAAATCTCTCTGCCTAAAATATTCTACTTTATCATTTAGTTTACAAGTGTCCCACCCATGTTGTCATCAACATAATCACCAGGAAGGTCACGTGTCAGTAACTCACTCGAGTAATTGAGTTGCTTTTTATATTGGAGAGTCCATGTTGGGTTTTACATTCTTTTTTCCTCTCACCACTAACCCCTAACATTTTTTAGAAATTTAATTTAATGTGTTTATCATATTAGTTTTATATACACTGGATTATTATTTTATAATATGTTGCATTATAAATTATTATGAATGAATAAAGAGTAATTTTATTATGATGCATCAGTATTAGAAGTGTAATTGACTAATATACATAAATATTACAGATATAACCTAAGTCACATAGAGTGAAAGTGAGAGAAAATTCGAGAGCGGGAGCACAAAAGTGACAAAATTGAAGTTATACAAGATGAGAATAAGAGCGAAAGTGCGCTAAAAGTATAAGAGCGTGAACGTTCTCGGAACGTAGCACCCGTTTAAAAAAATTGTGTAAATTAATGTATAACACATCGTTTCTCAATTCCCAAAGGGTCCGTTTGGTTAGACTGAAATAAATGGTGGAAGATGAAAGTGAAAAAAAGTGAAGTGAAGGAAAAAAAAAAAAAAATTTCCATGGTGCATTTGGTTAACATGAAATATTTTCAAGAAAATTGTGAGAAAATATTATGTTATTAGTTTGGATAAAATGAAAGAGAAAATAAAATGATTGTGCTTATTAAAATAGCCCTTATAATTTTAAATACTAAAAATACAAATAAATTTGGGTAAAATTAATTCATGCATCCAAATTTTGTTATTGATAATAGTATTCGGAACTTGTATGAGAGACACCAAGTCATCTGAATTTCTTCACTCAAAAATATTTTAACATATATAGACATTACAATTTATATAGTAATTGTAAAAACTTTGATTAAATCGAATAAGATTAGAATTGTTCTACTAGATGTTTGTTTATATTAGAATAACCAAAACCAATAAAATTTTATATATGACAACCAAGTTTCCGAAAAGTTTTCTTTTTGAATTCAACTAGAATTATATAAGTATAGAATATTTTGTTTTATTCTTTTTAAGGAATGTATATATTCCCTAAAACTTATAATAACTCTAATATCCCAATTTTAAAACCTAGTTGATATGTATATATACATATTATAAATTAATATAACGTAGTTAGAAAATACCCACCATAATATGTTATATGTATATACATATTTGGAAGGGAGAAAAATGAAAAAAAAGAAGAAGAAAAGAATAAAACATCAAGTTTGTATGCAAGATGATAAAAAAAAAAAAAAAAAAATGGATCTCTAAATGCACAATTTTTTTAAATTTTTTTTCAATTTTTTTCCTTTCTTGCTAGCTGTATCTAACCAAACACACCCAAAAAGAAAGATTCTCAGTCAGACTCTTCAGGAGACACTTCAATTTGGATTCAGGGCTGTTTCTGATGAATGGAATCTTGAAAAGCTTAGCAGTATCCATTATATATATGTGGAGGACAAGTGCAATCCTACATATTCTTTTTGCATGGAATGTTGCTTTCAGTGAGATAACAACCCATGCAAATCAAGCACTGTTCTGTGCATAGTGGAAGCACTGGAGAGGCCACACTTTGTGCCCTTTTCTCTCCTCCAAATGAGTTTGTGGTGCCACCAACAGTAACCATTGCCGGAGAGAGGGCAGCCCACAATCTATACAAGCTCAAAGAAAATTGTATAGAAAATAAAGTCCGAATTGAGATAGTATAAGCTCTTCTCCCGGTTTTTGAGATCTGATAGGGGCAAAATTATGCAGTGGTCAATGCATAATTTCAAACTAATAAGGGCGGTAAAGAAAGTGGAATGAAATAGTGGAAAGAACCAAGATAGAGAACAAAATATATATATTGGCCAAATTGAAAGCAATAATTAACTAATTTCAATATGCTAATGATGACCATACATGTTTATGCTGCTGTCTGTTGAAATAAAATCAATTCCCACATAACAAACTGCCGTTTAGCTCAGCAACAAATTAATTAAATCCAGCCAGAGTCAGAAAAATGCATTCCCGGGCGAGCAGAGAAATTAAGACACCGAATCCTCCTCACGATGGTGATGACATTTAACAAAACATAATATAATTATCATTAACATGAGCTATATCTAACAGACTACTTTAAAACATGCAACACTGTCAAAATGTAGATTAGAAACTTTCCAACAAGTCCAATATTTCATAACCAAGTTTAGGAGCAAAACATAGAGCAAATTACCAACATACTCATGCACCTGTGCCCTTGATCAATTTTCCCCTAGCATACTTTGACGGCCTTCTGTGCCTTGAGGAGGGAGACGTCAATATCGTTGGCAGATGTATGTCTTCAACAACTCGGAAGATACTAACATCCAAGACAACGGCTTCGTTTTTCTCACTTGCAAGATCAAACAGACACACATCAAATTCCTCTAAGCTGTTCTCAATAGCAAAATCCTTCCAACCACTACCTAGTACACCACCATATTTCCTGAAATAAAATCTGGTCTGCCATGTATTCTCTTTGACACGTAAAGTCACATCTTGGTTTTCAGGCCGGAGATGCCTGGTAGCCCATGCAGTAGGGACTGTCTGCAGAGCCATCACAAATACAGAGTCAAGATTTACAAAAGCCCACTCAAATTCGAGAAAAAAAAAAAAAAAGAGTTACAAATGAAACTTCAATGTTGTGCAGCTAACTATTGTAGTTGGTGAATTATTGTGGATACGCAAACAAAAAATTTCTTGTACTCACAAAGCAAAAAATAAGTAAAAAAATAAAAAAGAGGATAGAGGAAAGGAAAGAAACACAGACGGGTCAGTGGCCTAGCGGTATCAGGCTCTTACTCCCCAAAAGGAGGTTAAGGGTTCAAGTCTCAGTGGAGGCATGTGTGTGTGAGTAAATAAAAAACAGAGACATGTGCGCGCGCCCAAAAAAAAGAGGGTTAGGGGGTCAAATGAGAAGTTACCATTACAAACGACTTGTATACATGTGAAGGTCGCATAACCAGTACGAAACTGTCTTTGGTTGAGGCTGCAAACGCTGCCATTTTCAGAGCCTTCTCTTTCTCCTCTTCAGTTATAGGTCTTCTATTGGATACAAGTTTCACAGAACGGGCTAAATTTCTACTGATGGGCCTTTGAGTAGCATCTGAATCATTAATAAATCAAACAAAAGAAATTATTATTATTATTACTTTCTTTTTTAAAAAGAAGATTTACTCTCTAAACTCGACAAACATAACCACAGAATTTACAATTTTTGGCGTTTAAAAAATGTACCCCAACCAGGCAACCATAAAATGAAAAAAGAAAAAAATAATTAAAAAAAAAAGTCTCTTGTTTATGTAAATAGAATATGCATATGATATTAAGTAATAAATTAGAATTTAAGAAGAGGAAGATATATAAGGTTCTTAACATTATAGTACGGTCTCAAAAAGTAAAGCATTCTTTGGAAATCAAAATTTGAAGAAACTCACCATAATTAACTTTTTCTCCCTCTGCACAAGTAGAACGTTCTCTGTTTCTCAAGGTCTTCTTGCGTTGAAGCAATTTAATATGAGTAGCACCCTTCTGAGCCCGACTAGTTCCTTTACCTCGGGAATGCCATCTTGATGAAGTTGGGACTAAAAAATCATCCACCTTACGTTTCTTCTTTGATGAATTGCCTCCAACGTCGTCGTCATCATCATCATCAACATCATCATCATTATCATCATGTGAAGAATCTAGGGCAACTTCAACAGAGTTGTTGGTTATGTTTTTCTTTCTCTGGCACTGCTCGCGAACTTCACGTCCACAGTTTCTGACAAAATATGAAGCCTCCTTCTCACAAAAGCTTCGTCGGTCAAACATTAAAACATCAAAATGTCCTCCCCCATAGTATTTAAAGATCAAGATGTCACCTTCTTCTAGAGAATGATCTTCTACAAATTTTTGCCAACCATGTTTGAAGAGCAAAGTATCCCCATCTAGTGTTAGTCCTACATTCCACGTTGTACCACTTGGACCTTTAAGATCGATGGTTTCCGGTCGTTTCAGTTTCAAATTGTTGGAAACTTTTTTGGGGACAGCCTGCAATTCCACACACAATTATGCTCCAAATTATAGCTTTGGGGAACACAACAGACTTATACTATGTGCTGCAGAGAAAATAAGGGCGAACTTGAATTGACCAAAATGAATGAATCATCACCATGCACAACAGAACTCATGTAAAAAATCAAACAACTAAAGCACATAAAAGAATTATCGCCAGAAAAAAGTAAGTTGAGATGAAATTATCCATCCTGCCTATGCAAGGTGATTGGAACAGAAGACGTAATACAGAAACGGAAGACTTAATACATACCAGACCTTTTGACATTTTTTGCACAAAGTGACCACTCTTAGACATAAACTCGCATCCTCACACTTATCAATTCAAATTTTTGTCATTACACAAATAATGACCCCTATAACGTAACATTAATACTAATTAACAAGTGTGTTGACATTATAGAACTGATCAAGTGGGAATTTTTCTTCCAACTATAGTACTTCAACAAGATGCAAAATCTCAGACAAATGGATGTTTGTTATGAAATGAATACAGCAAAAAGCATACTCTAAGTAACTTAGAGAAATTTATTATTGGACAGCTCCACTAGCAAATTTTCTCCAAAGCAGATTGGTCACATAAAATAAACATAATATACGGAATAAGCAAAATGAAAGAGCACTAAATTAAACAAACCAAGCCAACTGCACATCAATCATATACTTAATGAAATAAATACGACGACTCATCCTCAAGTTCTATAATTTTAATCCTTATATGCAGTGACAATGGTAGCCCAAAGAGTTCTAATCAAATCGGTTTTGCTATTCATAAAAAAAAAAAAAACCATTGCCTAATATTGCTCTCACCTAACCTGTGGTATTATTTGCACAGAGGGACTACTCTAATACATTCACATCGTTACGCTTGGCAGCCCAAGTTTTCACCAGGCAATGGCCCCTTGGTTTGTTAGACACCTATATTGTAATTGTGGCAATTAGAATTTAACAAGTTACTTTGTTTCTTATCTTCAGAGTTATATTTGGTCAGGGCTTCAATTTCTATTATGATCAACTCTAGATAGGGATAAGCCCTTGCCTTCAAACACCTTAATTAATGAATTTGGATTATTTCAGATGGCAAGCGCGATAAAAAAATTAGTGAAATCAAATTTTTGGTGCCAAACACATGTTGAATTTACTATCTTGAATCAACAGGATGTTGGAAATTTAGCCATTGTAAGTTAAGAGCATTAGTTTATACAAGATCGAAATCTAGACGGTGATTGACAAATTATAACATTTAACAACTACTTGTCTTTGGTGTTGCACATTTAATCTACAACTTTTCAGAAGAACAAGCATGTAAAATTTACATGCTCATATAATTAACTTATTTCCTTCCTATAATGTGAAAAAATAATGTACGTTAACTTGCAAACCTCACTGACTGAAGCAAAAGAATATCTTAAATCTATGATTTTCCATGAGAAACTACACAAAATATGAAACTGATGTACCAAAAGGGCATCTAGCCCTTAGTGACTCAATATATTATTAGGATCCAAAAAAGGGCTGTTATACTATATTAAACAGTAAAATATTTTGAATTTATGTGAGAATTTAATTTTGAAGACTAAGTTAACAAAAGTCCATATCACTCAAACATAAATACCAACGTTTCCCAAATATGGGGAAAGATTAGAATATTATAGCACTAGATGACTATACAATTAATCAAAAAACCAATTAAATTGATATTATCAAAATATACAGCATTAATATATATATATATATATATTGCAGTTAATAAAAATTTATTGAGAAGAAACCAAAGAATACAAGAAGCGCTAAGGACACACACTACGGCAAGAACCAAGGATCTAAAATAGATAAGCGTAAACATTCAACTACAACACTAGCTGAACAACCAGAGCTAAACATAAATATAGGGCTAAAACCCTAGTGCACAAATAATTGAAGAATAAAAAATTAAAATTGCACACCAGCAAATTTATCATTAATGAAAATATATATAAGCATAATAATAAAATATATAGGATCTAAACAAAAATTTACATAAAATCAAAGGTTGCACACAAAACGTTCAAACTGACAATTCGATCCGAATCAATTCAAACCATGTGGTTTGCTTTCGTTTTATGACTCAACGGTTCGGTTTCAGTTCAAAAAATACTCCATTTGTGAGGTTGAGAGTTCAAGTCCCACTAGGGACATGTAATGAAGAATGAGTGTTTGCGTTTGCTTTAACTTTCACCAAAAAAAAAAAAAAAGACAAAAACAAAAAAACCTTTATAAAGTACATTGAATACTGGCATATCTTTATCTTCTAGTTCTTTGAAATAATGAATTTTGGTTATGATATCTATAGTTCTATGTCAATACTAATGGATCAGGGGTGGCTTAAGAGTTGGAATAACTAGGGTGGAATAGTATGGATGAAGATGACAAACAAAAATACAGAACTTGGTTAAAAAGTACATTGAAGACTGGCATGTTTTATTTTCTAGTCCTATGAATATATGACATTGCATCAAAGAACTTTAATACACTGATGCAAGTACAATTTTGATTATGATCCATCTATATTGATCAAGGGTGGGTTGAGAGTAATATTAATGGGGTGGAAGAGTGAGCAAATTCACTGGACTTGAGAAACAAAATTAAACACTGAAGACTGGTATACTTTTATCGTCTAGTTCTTTGAATGTATGACATTGCATCAAAGAACTCTAACAAACTGATTTAAGCACAATTTTGAGTATGATCCATCTATGTTGATATTTAGATTATCAGAGAAGATGAGCCGAAGTACTTCATTGTAGGCAATAGATGTAACAGAATTGAGGCAAATTGCAACCTCAGATTTTTTCTTCCCTTCCAAAGCTAATTTGAGTTTATTAATTCTAAAAGAATTCCTTTAACAAAAAAAACGTAAGAACTATAATAAATGGTAGCCAAGGCCAACCTCAGGCCTGGAACAATCAACCGACACCCAACCCTAGTAAAAATAAGTAAGACCAAGCCTAATAAATTTGAGGTAACTTAAGTGAAAAAACATTTTATATTATTCTCTTAAATAGGTTTTATGCATACATAAAAATATTCATAAAGTAGTTAATATATTATATAAAAAGAAGCAAAGTACAACAAATGAATTATATTATATAACAAGAACAGAACAATTAAACCACCATGGTTATTGGACTCTCCTATTGCCTATAACCAAGGCCAGGAGCAAAAAGAGGTGGGTTGGCATTAGGAAGGCAGTGAGTTGTAAAATAAAGTCAGATCTCTTTGATGAGAATGGAAAAAATAATAAGAAATAAAAATTCGAACAGCGAAAAAAATAATAAAAATTAGTGACAAATTAATATCCATTATCCCAACCGGTATAAAAGGCCAATTTTGTTTTTTTAATCCAGTGTTTTATTCAGCTAGGGACGCTGATTTTGCACAATTTGTCTATTCTCATAACCTTACAGAAAATAATAATAATAATAAATAAATAAATACTCTGTTTTCATACACAAACCCACGCCTGTCACCCGAGCAATGAACCCTTGATTACAAAATTAACTCTCTTTAACAAAAGCATCAAATGCACAAAATAGAAACAAGAGAGAATTACATTACATACATATATATATATATATATATATAAAATGATACACTTCAGAAAACTGTTCGTGATCTATCTTACAAAAGCAGGAATCAGATAAAGCAATTAAGTAGAAAAGAAAAAGAAAAAGAAAAAAAAAAGTTCTGAATTCTTGCACAGAGAGAGTTAAACATACTAGTTGGTGATGGAAATGCCCAGAGAGAATTTGAAAGAACTGCACACATTGAAAGTGGGTCCAATAGATGTTTTCTTCCCAGCTTCTGCATTCCGTACCCTCTTCTCCCATCTAAACGACAAGATCAGATTATTCAATCATCAACCCAAATACATATACATATATATATATACACACACAATCAGAGCATAAAAGATGAAAATTGACACTTTTTGGAACTTTCAGAAATCCCATATATAGTTTTACAAGATTTGAAACCAAGGTAGAGAGAAAGTTACCTTTAAAACCCAGCGTTCAAGAGAGATACCTCAAATCCAAACCCAGTGACAAATCACACAACACTTGGTTACGTCTTCTTCCCGCCGCTTGTCTTCTTTTTTTGTGGCGATTAAGAAAGAAGATGAAGATTTGACAAACGATTCGTTTTCCACCATTTTGTAAAGTCATTGTAGCGCTTTCTAAAAATATGAAATAGGAGTATTACCAAATATGGTAACATGGTCATCCAAAAGTATATATATATGGTAACATGCCACCATCGGGCTAATACCAATGGGCTTTAGCCCAATTTTATGACCTACCTTGAGGGTAAGGTGGTAGTAGGATTGGGTTGGGGTTTGCGTAAATTATGTGAGTACTTAACAAAAGGGTAATTTACACACACACACACACATATATATATATAGATATATATTTTTATAATTTGTTATAATTACGCAGACTTTTTTTTGTGATTTAGGAATTACTAAGGCCTCTTCTAAAAATAAAAATATTCTACAGAAATCTTCCTTACGACGGATTGCTAAATACACTCACGGAACTGACTAATTTATTAAAATACCCATACATTGCCATAATAAATTACTAAAATATTCATCAAATTTTAATTAAAAAATCCATATTCTGCGCAATGTTTCTCTTTCCTCTCTCCTCCTCTCACCACCGCCACAACCTTTCCTCACCGCCGGCAACTTCTTCCACCGCCATCTCTTCCCACCGCCGGTGACTTCTTCCACCGCCGCCTCCTTTTACCACCGACGACTTTTTCCACCACCACTACCTCAATCCACACACCACCGCCACAACCCCTCTCTCTTTCTCAACATACTCCCATCACCTCCCACTTCCACCACCTCCTTCCACTGCCATCGCCGTCATCACCAACACAACCACCATAGCTCTCTCTTTTCTCCTTAACAGCATATTCAAACCAAGGTTGTTAAAATCGGGATTCTACGCAAAATCGTTTTGGGTTTCGTAGAATCGGAATCGTAGAATCGGATCGTGAATCGTAAGATTCTACCAAATTGTGAAAAAACAATTAAAACTAACTTCTTAAACAATAAGATCTGTAAAATATAATCAAAATAAGGCCAAAACACACAATATTACATATCCATGAGTCCACAAATCTCAAATCCTAACAATATTCCAAAGTCCGAATATAAATAAAAGAAAATGTAGCTCAAAATAACATAGAGTTCTAACTCATCCATCTCTAAAGTTAGAAACTAAAATTACATATCCATAAAGTCATCATTGAACTCTTCATCATCACCATCTTCCTCATTAGCATCATCAACGGGATTTAATGGCTCCATGTCTTCATTATCATTAATTGCATAAATTTCCTCAACTATAAAGCATAAAGAAAGAAAGAAAATTAATATAATTTAATAATTTAAACAATATTATAATAAAAGTTTAAAGTTTACGTTCTTACGTATCCTAGTCATCCTTTTTACTTCATCTTCTTCATCGGTATCATCTTCTTGAACTTTGTCATCAAGAACCCTCAACCATTTAGTTTTTGTTGGAAGAACTGGATCCTCTTTTTCGGTAATCCATTCATCATTGAAAGAAACATCGGAAGAAACAAATTGGTTCTATGACGGCTTGTCTTTTCACGTGCCTCTCCCTCAATTTTATGTTATACAGAACAAATACCAAATCATTCAGTTTTTTTTTGTTGCAACCGGTTTTTCCTTTTTGAATGCACCTAAATATATTGCCAATGAGGTTAAAACTTAAAACTAAACTATGACATTATTAAAATTTTGGAACTATGCATTATTCGATAATTTACCATCTCAAAGGCAATCCAGTTCCTTTCACATCCCAAAGAGCTACATGTTAAACTCAATATTCTAATTGCAAACCGCTTTAACTCGGGGCACTCATCACCAAATGAATTCTAATTGCAAACTGCTTTAACTTGGGGCACTCAACCACAGACCACTTGTAATGTTTACAGGACATCCTTTTTTTTTTTTTTTTTTTTTTTTCTTACTACTATTTAATTAAATAGCTAAATTCAAATTCCCTGGTAAGCTATTCCAGTTCTTCTTCCATATACTTAGTACCAAATAGTTATGAAATGATTTTATCGAATTTAATTTATTATTCCCACCTGTTATATAAACCTAATATTATGTATAGTTGAATAGTTCCAATTTTTTATGTGGGTTACAGTCTTTCTTTGTGTGTATTATTTATTCATATATCAATCTTTCTTTGTAACCGTGAGTGAGAATTCATGTGGGTTTGTGCAAGTGAAAGATAATGGAATTTGAGTAGGAAAAAAAAAAATGAAAAGAGAGAGAGAGAGAGAGTTTAGAGTCTTATAAAGATGTGATTTTATTTGTAGCAGGAGAGATGGCAACAACTTTTGGATGTCCTTTTACATTGTCACAGTGGAAGGAACTCAAGACACAATCAATGATTTACAAATATATAATGGCCTCTGTATTTGAATGAAATATGTTACTATTTAATGTTTACAGGACAGCCTTTCTGGTGTAGCTATTTAATTACTCATTGCTACTAGTTTCAATTCAAATTTGGTTCTCTAATTTTAACAACAATATCAGATAGATCAAAATATTATTTGGCTTCAAAAGTTGTAAAAATTAATGCAGTATTTGTGATTCCGCTGGTTAAAATTTCATGAAATTAAAGGGTGTCAAGGCTGATAAGATTTTCTGGACGAAGATTTGGAGAAGAATTAGAGAATAGCAATCAGTAATCACCCACTCACTGTATCTATGATTCCATACTAAAAAAAAGAGGGAGAAAAATAATTCTTAGTATAGAACATACCTGACCAAGCCGCCGAACCTGCTGCTGTATGGAATGGATCCGATCTGCTCTATAGAGGCCTCTACACTGCCGCCTCCTCTCAGTCCTCACTCCTCACTCTTGAGTCTTGACTTCCCGTTTCTAAGTCTATAATAGAGTAGGGTTTTCTATTTTGGTTTTGTTACTTTATATTTTATAATTTATAAAATAAATAATAAAACGTATAATTTGGTAAGTTTTTGGCCAGACCTGCCCAAACAACTAATACAATTAAGGCCCAAAGACCAAATATTATAAACGCCCGCCCAAAGGCCCCAAACACCCATTTTTGATAGAATCGATAGAATCGTATAGAATCGTACGATTCTACGATTCTACCAACGATTCTACCGATTCTACCCCCGATTCTACCAATTAAGCGATTCTGCTGTGATTTGAGTCGATTTGGAGTTCTGAGTCGTAGAATCGTGCGATTCTACGACTTAGAATCGCGATTTTGATAACTATGATTCAAACACTACGTACGACCCAAACCCTCGACTCGTGGCATGTCAAATCTCAAAACTTCCAAATCTATAAACCTCTCACTGTGCCCCACTCCCACCACTGACATTTTATGTCCTCTCCTAACCATCTCACTTTTTCCTATAAAAAACACATATATATAAGATATATTGATTGGAGTTTTTTTCGTTTCTTTTTTTGATTTGTGTGTTATCAATGAAAGTCTCATGAGAGACCCAATCTCCAATACACAAAAATTAGATCTTTCACAGGATAGATTAAAGTTCTTATAATAATGGTGGAATTGTTAATTTGCACTTGCAGCAGCGATGGAGGAGCAATGGATGTGGGCATAACCCAGATTGATTTTACACTATTGATCTTTGTTGAAAGTTTAATTTTGGTAATTAATTTTTTTTCTTCCGAATGTATAATTCTTCCATTCTAAACCAAATCTAAGAGTTGACCAATTGCTGATATGATACACTAATAAAATTGTGATTCAAAATAACAGCCAAAAAGCGAATTCAACCTATGATAGTGATCAAAGATTATGTATTCTTTTGATATATATATAATATATACTAATATCATATTGTATTCTTTTGATATATATATATATATATATCAATTGGAAGGGACAAGGGTATTATGGAAATTTTAATAAAATTTGCACATGACATTAGCACATTTCGTCCTTGACTGACGTTAACTCTAACAAAAGGAAAGTATGTGTAAGATAGATGGGAAGTTCGTGTAATTATGACAAATTATAAGGGAGGTTTGTGTAAATTACCCTTAATAAAAAGATTTGAGATCGTGTGGTGGATTCTATCACATGACGTCATGATGATGTCACTTCTAGATATAGTATTTCAATTGTTTGAAAAATTAGAATAATAAAAAAAAAAAAAATTACTCCAATTCCGGTGTGATGTTGAGTGTTCGTCGATGATAGTGTTTGCATTTACGAGCAATCGGATGAATGGAGTGCGATGATGGTTGCTGAGGGCTGCATTGTTAAAACCAATTGTGAGATAGGTGGTGATGGTTAGGAAGAGAGAGGGGTTTGCAAAGAAGGGAAGGCAGTTGTGAAGAGCATTTTAGGAATAAATTTCAAATCGTCCCTTATTTGCAGTTAAGTTTTATTAACTTTTTTTTTTTAACTTTACTGTCACTAAAACCTAATTTTTGTAAAGAATAATTTTGTTTAGAATATCTCTAAGGGAGATGATATTTGCACTCCACTATTATACAATTGCAATGCACTTTTCTTTTTCTTTAAAAAAAAATGACAAGAAGACTCTTAAACTTATTAATACACCTTTTCTTATTTTATTATAAAGTAAACTTAAATATTCAAATAAATTCTAAATTAATTTTTAAAAAACACACCAGGGAAAAAATATCAAATTAAACTCAAAGTATAAAATAGAAAAGAAAATTTTTTCTAAAAAGAATATCATTCCCACCACCATTCAAATTAATTCTTAAAAATCACATTAAAAAAATCTAAACATAAACTCAAAGCATAAAATAAAAAAGAAAAAAAAAAATTACCATTCCCATTACTATTATCATCAAAGGAGTTTAATGGTTCATGAAGTTTTAATAGTTATTCAATGTTTCTTTATGCTAACAAGGTCAAATATATCGTTCTAATTATGTGTGTATGAGAGAGAGAGAGAAGAAAATTAATACAAAATAAAGAAAAAGTTTAGAAATGCAGGAAGCAAGAGAAAAATAGAGGTTAATAGAAAAGCAAGATAGCAAAACCGTAAATTAGAAAAGAAGGGAGTGACAAAAAGATCTTACCATAATCAAAAAGGGTAATTATGGTATTTGAGAAAAATAATTATTAATTTTTAAAGTTAAGGCTAAATGTGTTATTTCTTTTATTAAGATTGGAGTGCAATAGTATAAAATGGAGTGAATACAATCTTCCTATCACTAAAATCTTTTTTTTTTTTTTAAATATTAAAAATCACTTCTTAAAAAGTTTAAGTTTCCAAAAAGGGTGTAATAATAATAAATAATGGTATCATGCGTCTACTTGGAAAGGTTGAGGTTTTGACTACTGTAAACAAAATGTGAAATTCACCAATTTTAATTCAAGACTTTAATTCGGTGCAGTAGAACACATCTCAAGTCTAAATTAAGTATAACACGAAGTGACTGCTCTCATACTTAAACTTGTATCCTTGCACTTGTCAATTCAAACATGCTGACTTATCAATAATATACTCGATGAAAATTGCAAGATCACTAAATTAAAATATCAATAATATTAATATACTTTGATGAAATAAATATGCTGACTTATCTTCAAGTTCTATAATTTTAATTCATATATGCAGTCTCAATGTCCAATCCAAATACAACTCTTTTTTGTTATTCACATAAGGAGAAGATATTGAGTGCATCAGGTATGCCACGTTATTGGTATGCTCAATCAATAAAAATACATCATTCTATGAAATTGATCTCATCTATTTTTGAAAAATCTTCAACTAATTGTTATATTGATTTTTATTGGTCCGGCGTGCAAATACATTATTCTATTAAATTGATCTCACCTATTTTGAAAATTGCTCAACTAACTCTTATATTGATTTTTATTGCCCGACATACAAATGACTTGGTATGCCTGGCGCATTTAATATCTCCTTACGCTTGGCAGTATTCTAAGCTTTCACTACTTCAACAAGCAACTGTTGAAAATAAACTTGATTTTAAAATTTTAGTAGTAATTAGTATTTTCAAGTATTTGGTATACATGATGCATGTGTGCATTTCATGTTAGTTGGGTAGTAAATGGTCTTAATGGAGAAGGTTATTTAAGACTAAGAGGTATAGAAATTAAGCCTCCTAAATACTATGCTAGTGGGAGTTATGTTACTAATGGTTATGTTAGTGGGAATAATGGGAGTTATGAACATTTAAATGTAATTGATTACATATGTCTAATCCTATATAAACTCATGTAATGGACCTATTTATATGTGAGTAGAAGAATAAGATGAAATAGTATGAGTAGAAAATAATATATTTCTAAGTGGTTCATTTCCTCAATTCCTCTTCCATATTATTGTGTTGTGTGTGTCTCTAACCAGTCCACTATTTCCAACAAAGTGGTATCAGAGCAAAAGTCAAAAAAGTGGTATCAAAGTAAAAGTCAACGAAGTGGTATCAGAGCCAGGTTTCATGTTCAGAGCCCAGACGATCCTAAAGGTCTAACGAAATTGATCCTAAAAGGTTCAACATTTTGAGAAAGAAAAACATGTTTCTCCTTGATGAGAAAATGTATTTTCTTAGTGAGAAGATGATGTTCTCTAATTACAAGAGAATGAGAATCATCATGACATCATACCTCAAAGCATGTGATTTGTGGGATGTAGTTGGAGAAGAGCCAAAGAATAACATGTCAAACAAGCTTCTTGAAAAAAAAAAAAAAAAGGCATTGGTAGTGTTGCGAAAGGCAATACATCAAAAAATTTGGAAGTACTTTGGAGAGTCTAAAACTCCAAGTTGTGTTTGGAAGATACTCGAGGCCATCACTTTCAAGCATAGAGGTGAATCATTACCCATAGAGTATTGGGTACAATACTTTGAGGACGACGAGTTTACGAAAGATGATTATCAAATTCTTAAAGATAAATTTGTGGAGAATGAAGAGGAATGTTATGCAAATGAAGTTGACCATTTTGAAGATTCAAAAGTTGAAGAAGAATTTGAAATGGTGAATGGGGAAGAGGTAAAGAAAGGTGTTGAAGAAGAGATTGAAAAAGTGGAGGAGAGTGAAGTGGAAAGAGAAATTAAAGAAGAATAAAGTGTTAAAGAAGAGGCAAAAGTTGATGAAGTTGGTGAGTTAACATCTTCAGGTATGGTTACAAAATTCACCTTCAAAGAAGTTATATTTGATTTATTTGATAAAATTATGATTTCTTCATATTCATCTCAATTGGAAAACGAAATCAAATATTATGATAATTGTGTTGTTGTGGAGAATAATGAACTTCTCTTGAAGAAAGTTACTCCAAAGAAGTATGCGATTGAAGCTCAAGATGATAAAAAATTCTCAAATTATTTTTTAAAAAATAGTTTGGAGAATTTTGTAATTGACAGAGGTTGGGTGAATATGGAGTTATTTTTTGACTCTAAAGAAGAAGCATATGTGAAGTTGAAGAGTCATAAAAAATTTAAGAAGAAAAAAGATAGATTATGGGTTTGTATAAAGAGGATGATATATGATTATGTGAAGACATCAAACAAGCATTTGAAGATTTTTCATAAGCCATATACATCAATGGAAATGGCCAAAAAGATTGTTGCAATTGAAGGAGGTAGAACTCAAGACAAAGTAACAAACTTTTGATCGAGCCCCCAAGATGAATAAAAAGCTTACTTTCAAGTTACAAAATCAAGTTTAAAGGGGGGTGTTGAAAATAAACTTGATTTTAGAGTTTTAGTAGTGATTAGTATTTTCAAGTATTTGGTATACATGATGCATGTGTACATTTCATATTAGTTGGGTAGTAAATGGTCTTGTTAGAGAAGGTTATGTAAGACTAAGAGGTATGGGAATTAAGCCTCCTAAATATCATGTTAGTGTGAGTTATGTTACTAATGGTTATGTTAGTGGGAGTAATGGGAGTTATGAACATTTAAATGTAATTGGTTACATATGTCTAATCCTACATAAACTCATGTAATGGACCTATTTTATATGTGAGTAGAAGAATAAGATGAAATAGTATGAGTAGAAAATAATATATTTCCAAGTGTTTCCTTTCCTTAATTCCTCTTCCATATTATTGTGTTGTGTGTCTTTAACCGGTCCACTATATCCAACAAAATGATATTAGAGCAAAAGCCAACAAAGTGGTATCAAAGAAAAAACCAACAATGTCCCTTGGTTTGTTAGACACCTATATTGTAATAGTGGCATCTCCAATTTCATTGCTTTCTTTCTTCCTTCACAGTTATTATTGTCTTAAGGGCTTCAATTTCATTTATGGTTAACTCTAGAAGGTAATTGAAGTAATAATTTGGCTTAGGTTCAGTTGGCATGGGAAATCAAAAAATTCAGGAAGTCAATTTTTGTTGTCAAAAATATATTGAATCTAGTAGCTGTAATCAAAAGAATGTCAAAAACTTTTTTAGTTTTTCCATGCTTTTCCAGAAGAAATCCACAATTAATACATTAACTTTACTCAATGATTAATTTCGTTTATTATATATATATATATATATATATATATATATATATATATATATATATATATATATATATATATTACTTGTCAATGGTTAGTGGGATTAGAGAGTTAAGAGGTTAAAGGGGGAGGGAACTGATGTCAGTGGGTTTCGAACAGGTCAAAGGTCTCAAACAACACACGCCCACCGATGCGCTTGAATTTAGTGTGATTAAGTTAATCATAGTAAAATTAAATTCCAGCGTAAGTGTAGTTTTAAGTGTATGTTCTAAAGTCAATAATTTAACAACCGTCCCATGTATCCAGATTTTAAACCATAGAGTCTTGCGAATAAATCAGAGAATTATCAAAGCAAAAGTCCACAGCTCTGTAATTCTTGTGTGTCATCATGCCACAAAAAAGAAGAGGAATAAATTGATATGACGACGGTTACAATTTTTTAGCTCATTGTTGACCCATTGCAATTCTTCTCAAATAGAGAGTTCATCTTTTTATTACCGAATTAGAACAAATGATAATGCGGTTCATTCCCAACTCATTTAGCCCTGTATATGACACCCATCATATACATCTATATAAATCAATCCGTATAAATCATAAGACACCTCAATAAGAGTTCATCTCATGAGTTAATCAATGCGTGCGTGTACACACGCACATACACATATATATAAAGAATTTAACCACATATTTCATTTAGATAAAATGTCAATTAGGATTGAAACAACTGCTGTGCGGGGCATACAAAATCCCAACACTGCCTGGGAAATCAACTCTAAAGGGTAAGTGATAATATTTAACAAACTTAGTTATCACAACATGAGCTACATCTACCAGAATTCCCTTTAACAAATGTAACATGTCCAATATTTCATAACCAAATTTATGAGTGAAAACACAGCATATTATCAACTCATGCAGCAGTGCCCTTGATTAATTTTCCCCTAAGAAACTTTGACGGCATTCCATGTCTCTAGGAGGGAGAGTTTGTCATGAAAAAAAAAAAAAAAAGGATCAAATAGGAGTTTATGAGAACAAAGAGAAAATTAATGACAAAAAAAAAAAATAAATGAGAACAAGAGAAAAATAATGATAAGAAAAAAAAAAAAAAAAAAAAAAAATTAGGCACACACAAACGAGATAAGGATTTATACGTGGTTCACCCTCACAAATAGGATTATGTCCATGGGCGATGATGATTCGAATCACTATAAAGAAGAAGATTACAAACTGAAGAACGTTTTGGTTCTTCCTCACAATAATCTCTCTTCTCACATCACTCACTCACCAACAAAGAAGACTCACTTAACACTCAAAAAATACCCTAAATAGTATATGGTTTACACAAAGAGAAAAACCCACCCAAATACAACTTCAACACTCTCTTGAAGATTGTACACACAAAAGGATTTTCTCACACACACAAACCCAATATACTCACTTGATCTGAATATTATCTTACTCTTGGATGCCTCTCAGATGCTTTTCATCGAATGAGTGTAAGGCTATTTATAGCCAAAAATATACTTGGTGTCCAAGTATATTACAAAGCTTCCTTTGGAAGCCAAATAGCACTTGTTGTCCAAGAATTTCAAAGCTTCATTTGGAAGCTAATTTGGAAGCTTTACCATCACACTTCTTTAGCCAAAAGATTTTTGCCATGTCATAAATGAATTTTAGACAAACTTCTAACAGAGTTCAATATTGTTGGTGGAGTTATGTCTTCAACAACTCGAAAGATTCTAACTTCCAAGACAACGTTGTCATTTGTCCCCTTATCAAGCTCAAACAGACACGCATCAAATTCTTCTAAGCCATTTCGAAGCGCAAAATTCTTCCAACCACCAGCTAGTACACCGCCATGTTTTCTGGTATTAAATTTGGTCTTCCACGTATTCTCGTTGACACGTTGCGCGGAATGGCCAAATTTCATACTGATGGTGTTAGACATAATAAATTCTTTAACAATAATTAGCCCATTAGGATTCAACTTTGATGAACAAAAACACAATGATTTATAAAATTTAGAACTGGTACATATCTTACCTTGATCCATTATGAGTAAGAGATTTTGAACCTTAGTTATTGATGCTGACTAAACTTCAAATTGAGCCAAGAACTAGGTTCCGTCTATTCTGAATAACCAATGTAAAATTATAAGATCTTCAAACCACTTCTCTTTCTATAGTTAATGGGTACTAATTGTGGTGTTTCATATCACAATTCACGTCATAAGAGAGTATGGTTTGGGACCTTTATATATATCATTAGTTCATTAAAGTTAGTCTTCCCATTAAAGACTTTTATATTTTCATAAGAATACCAAGAGTTACAAGAAATTCTAACTCTTCATTAACTATTCATTAAGTGAACACTAATTAAAAGAGTTACCAAATGTTATGTTCACTTAACTCTTCATTAAGTGAACATTAACTTTAATTCCATTAGTGTCACTTAAGTTTATAGAAGTGTATGTAACTCAAAAATTGGCGTTATAAGTGTTTACAAAACTTTACACTTTTGGTCTTCAATACACTAGGTGCACTTAATATTGGATCACCTTCCAATTAATTTCTTATAACCCTGCTTATGGAATTATCTAGTATATCATAATATCATATGTATGATCATGTAAAGGCCACTAATTAAAGTGATAAATTTCTAACAATCTCCCACTTGGCCTGAATGATTATACCATCTACTAGATTGTTCACATAAAATGGCCAACATATTTTTCCAAAAAAGAGGTTACACCATCTTCATTAGATTCTGTTTAATGAAACTACTAATGCCAAATCATTGCAGTTATTGAATCACTCATCGATTTAATACCATTCAATAGTTATAGCATTAATACCTTCATCAACATGAATTGATGAGATTTAACTAATACTGATGACATTAGCAAAGTAATGGTGATTAGTGTTAATTTATCATTAACGGTCTAGTATTGCTTTTATATTTAAATGTGCACGAAAGTTGAAAGCAATACATCATAATCATCATATTGTCATAAACATAATGTGATCACACTAAAAATATCAATACACTTTTAACCCAAACATAAAAGATTGTCCACCAAGCCCATGCGCACAACATGATCCTTAAAGAGCTTAGGTGAGAGACCTTTTGTCAATGGGTCTGCTAACATGAGTGTAGTACTGATATATTAAATTGAGACAATTTGATTCAAAACCCTTTCTCTCACAGCTAGATACTTGATATCAATATGCCTCAATCCTCCAGTAGTTTTGTTATTTTTAGAGAATCGAATAGCAGCATCATTATCACAGTAAATTTTCAAGGGTTTTGTAATTGAATCAACAACACTTAATCCTGTGATAAAATTTCTTAACTATATTGCATGACATGTGGCTTCATAACTTGCTATGAATTCAGCATCCATAATGGAAGAGGCAACTAGTGATTGCTTTTGACTCTTCCATGAAATAGGCCCCTCTGCTAGCATAAAAACATATCCAAAAGTAGACTTTCAAGTATCCGTGCATCCAGCATAGTCAGAATTTGAATAACCAATAACCTCAAGGTTATCTGTCTTTTTGTATTTAAGCATGTAGTCTTTGGTTCCTTGCAGATAACGCAACACTTTCTTAACTGCTTTCCAATGATCAATACCTGGATTACTTTGGTATCGACCAAGCATACCTACCACATATGCTAGATCAGGACATGTACAAACTTGAGCATATATAATACTCCCAACTGCAGAAGCATAAGGAATTCCCTTCATTTGTTCCCTTTCAATATCATTTTTGGGACATTGGAATTCACCAAATTTGTCACCCTTAACAATAGGGGCAACAACATTAGAATAATGTTGCATATTGAATCTTTTAAGAACCTTATTAATATAGGCTCGTTGGGATAATCCTAAAAGACCGCAAGACCTATCTCGGTGAATTTCAATACCAATAACAAATGATGTTTCACCCATATCTTTTATATCAAAATTCTTTGACAAGAATTGTTTTGTCTCACGTATCATTCCCATATTATTGCTGGTAAGCAATATATCATCAACATACAACACTATAATACTCCCACTGATCTTAAGGTATATACAAGAATCCACTAGATTCTCCTTAAAACCAATGTTGGTTAAAACTTCATGGAACTTAAGATACCATTGTCGAGAAGCCTATTTTAAACCATAGATGGACTTTTTAAGCCTACACACCTTGTGGGCCTTGCCTTTATCCTGAAAACCTTCAGGTTGGTCCATATAGACCACTTCATGCAAGTCACCATTTAAGAAGGTTGTTTTGAAGTCCATCTGATATAACTCTAGATCATTATGAGTTACTAATACCATGACTATTCGAATGGAGTCCTTTTTGGAAACTAGATAAAATGGTTCCTTATAATCAATCCCTTCTTTTTGAGTGTATCCTTTATCAACTAATCTGGCCTTGTATCTTTCAATATTGCCTTTGGAATCACGTTTGGTTCTGAAAATCCATTTGTAACCAACAGTTTTGGATCCTTCAGGTAATTCTACAAGATCCCAAACTTCATCATCCTTCATGGATTTTAACTCTTCATTTATGGCATTAAGCCATAGAGTTGATTTATCACTACTTATGGCTTGAGCATGAGAAATAGGATCATTTTCCAAGCCAATATCATAATCACACTCATTTAAATAAATTTCATAGTCATTCGATATAGCAGGCCTACTTTCTCTTTGGGATCTGCGTAAAGGTACTTCTACAATTGGAGTAGATTCCTTAATGTGGGAAGTTTCTTTAATACCACAATTTTCTATAATAGGTGTATGTATCACCTTATCTTGGACCACCTGTAATGGCATAAGAATCCGATCTTCCTCAAAGGAAATTTTTTTAGGCTCAGTTCTCCCACAAACATCCCCATTTTCTAAAAAACACAGCATGTCTAGTTTCAACAATTCAAATACTATGAGTAGGACAATAAAATCTAAACCCTTTTGATCGTTCTGGATAACCAATAAAATAACAACTTATAGTTCTAGAGTCCAATTTCTTTAATTGTGGGTTGAATATTTTAGCTTCTGCTGGAGATCCCCAAATATGAAAATAGTTTAAAGTCGGTTTCTTACCAACCCATAACTCATAAGGAGTTTTAGACACAACCTTACTAGGAACCCGATTTAAAATATGTACAGCAGTTCTCAAAGCTTCACCCCATAAAAATTCAGGTAAAAAGGAATTACATATCATACTTCTCACCATTTCCATTAGAGTACGGTTTCGACGCTTAGCAACACCATTTTGTTCAGGTGTGCTTGGCATTGTATAATTTGCAATAATACTGTTCTCTTTCAAATATAAGGCAAAATGACTCGGATTTTGACCCGATTCAGTGAATCTACCATAATATTCACCGCCTCTATCGGATCTCACGCTTTTAATCCGTCTGTCAAGTTGATTTTCAACTTCAGCTTTATAGATTTTGAAAACATCAAGTGACTCAGATTTTTCACGAATAAGATACAAATAAGTATACTTCTAAAAGTCATCAATAAACATAATGAAATATTTATGTCCATTAATGGTTGAGATTGGAAAAGGTCCACATATATCAGTATGAATTGTTTCTAATAATTCTGTGGTCCTTAAAGCACCATTTTTCTTAATTTTTGTGTACTTCCCTTTTATGAAATCCACACAAGTACCGAAATCAGAGAAAACAAGTGAATCAAGAATTTTGTCTTTAACAAGACGTGCCATCCTTTCTCTTGATATGTGGCCTAAACGTTTATGCCACAACATGGATGAATTCTCACCCACTCGATTTCTCTTTTTCTTTGTAACATCATTCACATTAAAGGATAAAAAAGATTGCGCATAATTTGAATCTAAATTCAATGAATAAAGATTACCCTATAGGATACCAGAGCCAACCAAATGAGAATTATGGAATAAAGAAACTCTTTTATTTCCAAACTTTAATTCATAACCATAAGAATCAAGTTTCGGAACTGAAATAAGGTTTCTAGTAAATATAGGAACGTAAAGTGTATCTACTAAATCCATAATGAAACCAGTGTTCAAAATTAGACGTAGAGTCCCACTGGCCTCAACATCTACTTCCGTTCTATTTCCCAATGTAATGGCCCGCTGTCCTTTATTTAGTCTCTTACTTGCAAGGTATCCCTGCATAGAATTTGTTATGTGAATACTTGCACCAGTATCAATCCACCAAGTGTTTGGTGGAACATCAACAAGGTATGATTCATAAGACACAAAGCATTGGGTTTTACCTTTCTTTTCCAATCAGGATTTAAAACCCTGAAAATCTTTTCTCATATGACCTTTTTTATGACAGAAATTGCAACGCATCTTATTATCTTCCTTTTGGACTTGGTGAGCATCAACATTAGCATGTGTAGTTTTCTTACATTTACCTTTCTCGAACTTCTTTCTACTTGGACCCCAATGGTGAGGTGAGCCATATCGGGTTTTTCAGCTTTAAGCCTCTCTTCTTCTTGAACACACATGGCAATCAACTCGCTCATCTTCCACTTCTCTTTCTGCGTATTATAATTAATTTTAAATGAACCAAATTGGGCAGGAAGAGAAGTCATCATGAAGTGAACGAGAAATCCTTCAGAGATTTCCATGTCCATTCCTTTCAATTGAGAGGCCATATCATTCATCTTCATGATATGCTCACGAACACCACTTTGACCATTATATTTCATTGTCATCATTTTCATCATTAGAGTACTACCAACAGATTTGGAAGTACCTAAAAATTGTTCTTCAACTGATTTCATATAGCACATTGCATTATCGGAGTTAGAAATGGCTCCTCTAATTGCAGGCATAATTGAGCTTTTCATAATCATTAGACTCATGCGATTAGAGCGCTCCCATTTTTCATATAAAGCCTTTTGTTCTATAGTACTTTCAACAGTAGGCTTTATAGGTG